ATATTATATATAATGTTATATGCATGTATATGTTTGGGTAAGCATGTAAGCTTTAATACAGGAAAATAAACAAAAGGCTTTAAAAACATAAGCTAAAAATTTAATTTTTTCATCTACATACGTACATACATTATGTAGATTTAACGATGGATATGTCAGTAATGATCAATATTCAATGAAAGATAAATTGATTAGGTGCATGAAAGGTGTGGATTTTTTTATAATAGTGTTTATATAACGAAGTGTTTATATAACGTATAGCCCTTGTGGCTTAGCGCTTCTTTTTGATTATAATAATAATATATAACGTAGTTTATATAACATAGTGCTTATATAACTTAGTGTTTATATAACTTAGTGTTTATATAACGTAGTGTTTATATAACGTAGTGTTTATATAACATAGTGCTTATATAACATAGTGCTTATATAACTTAGTGTTTATATAACGTAGTGTTTATATAACGTAGTGTAGGCGCGTAGTGTTGATGTGACTTATGAAAGATGCTATACAGATTGGACCTGGAATTAGTAGAGAATTAATCTCATTTAATCAAAACTAACATAAATAATACTGGCAAATATAGTGTCCTATACGAAAAGTGAATTTAACGTGTAACTGGAAGGATTCAAGTACAAAGTGAAGCTGTCGCAATAACGATGATACGAATGAAATGTGAACTGTTGCTGAAGAATCTACATTGTCCACCATATGTATCATCAACTATGTAATGTAATATAACTATTTAATGGGCAATATTAGTTGCCTGTTGATAGGGAGGCGCTGGGATATATCACCAAGATTATAATTTAGCAAGTAATATTTACATGTTCATCATATTTTTTTTCTAATATAATTTGTCTATATTATATATATATATATATATATATATATATATATATATATATATATATATATAATATATATATATATATATATATATTATCACTTAAATTACTCAGGTCAAGTAGATGATACTATTAAATATAGAGTCCACAACCAAATTTAATATAGCTAGTGTTACTAGCTGGAAATTTCATGTATGTGTGCACAAATTGGAAATAAATAAATAAATAATAAATAAATAAATAAGAACTATATGTTCACATAATTTAAAGTCCAGATGTGTGAGTCTGGGGACTGAGAAGGTGGGCACCGAAGGAGTGACAGTTATGTGACCCACTGTCCCACCTGTCTCCGAGTTACAATTAGTATCAGTAAGTGTAATCTGTTTTAGATGTGCCAGAGTTCTCCCCTGTTGTGTGTGTGAAAATTTAATTCAGGATTGTAGATGAATTGTTCAGAGAACCGACAAGTTGATAAATTAGACATATATGCAACACTTGGGTATCTTTGAGGAAACGTTTCGCTCTCCAGGAGCTTTATCAATGGCTTGACAAAGCTCCTGGAGAGCGAAACGTTGCCACAATAAAATGTCACATTAGTTACACTTGTGTCCATTTACTTTACACCTGTTGTCCTGTTCACCTAGCAGCAAATAGGTACCTGGGCGTTAGTCGACTGGTGTGGGTCGCATCCTGAGGACCCCAGTGGAAATAAGACACAGTCCTCGATGGCGCACTGACTTTCTTGGGTTATTCTGGGTGGCTAACCCTCCATGGTTAAAAATCCGAAGAAAATCTTGTCTTAATGAAGTTTAATAAACGACGGGGACAAAAAAGTCTCAAAATACACAAGTGTGGAGTAAAGTTGCCATTTTCTGTACTGTAATGAATAGAGAAGAACGAATGTCAACGAAAGGGTAACTAAAGAAGATACTTGTATTGGTTATGTAACCCTCTTAAGGAAGGTTCCTTGATGCTGGTGAGGGGCTCCTGATCTAGGGAACTGGATCTGTGCTTCAGTATCCTGAATACAGCTCCTCTCTCTCCTACATGCGGGTTATTTGTGTATTCCAGTCACGGCATTGTGCCTTGTTATTTATTAAGCCTGAATACCTTCCATCCCCCCAACACACACAGGCGCTGTATAATCCTACGGGTTTAGCGCTTCCCCTTGACTATAATAATAATGTTCGTGTAAAGTAAGTTAGTAATAATAAAAATGTTTAATTATTTGAGTACATGATACAACTTATACAGACCATAGCTGACATCAGTGACGTATTATCAACAAAATTCTTGATTACTTACTACGCAAACCATTTCGGAGAGAGAGAGAGAGAAAGAGAGACAGAGAGAGAGAGCACAACCTTGTAGTACCCACAGTCAGTGGTCAGGCTTCAAACGCCTTTTATTGTACAGGAATAAGGGAATGGAACAGACTGCACATGTCAAAGCCAGTCATAGCATGAGCCAGTTCAAGAAGAGAGCCTAAAGGTACCTAATGAATGTAGCGACAGAAAGGGAGGAGAATGATTTTACCTTATTCCTAGTATATCTCATTTATAGTATAATAAGGTATTAAAAGGACCCCAATGGAAATAAGTCACTCTGACTTTTTTGGGTTATCCCATGTTCTCTACACATATGCTATTATGTATAATGATCTATATAACTATTTGTGTATACCTGAAAAACCTTGCTTACTTATTCGGGCAACTTAATTTAAGTTTGTGAATATCAAAATAGTATACAATACCGACAGGTTGGTAGGTAAGACACATAGGCAACAGTTAGGCAACTTTATTCCGAAACGTTTCGCCTACATAGTAGGCTTCTTTAGTCGAATACAGAAAGTAGGCAGGAACAGTAGAGATGTGAAGACGATGTAATCAGTCCATCACCCTTGAAGTCGTAGAATTTTGAGGTTGTCAGTCCCTCAGCCTGGAGAAGTTCAGTTCCATAGTCAGGAACTATCTGAAGATCAAGCGACAGTGTGGAGACTTAAATACTGTCGGAAGGAGAGGTGCAGAGTAGTAGTAGTGAGAATGTAGCCACTGAGAGGTCAGGTCCCTCTCAGATCCAACAGTTCTCACTCGAAAGGGTTGTCCAAGGTGTTTTCTGTACCAAGAGGCCATGTGTTGCAGTGCCTGACAAGATGATGGACTGATTACATCGTCTTCACATCTCTACTGTTCCTGCATTCCTGTATTCGACTGAAGAAGCCTACTGTGTAGGCGAAACGTTTCGGAATAAAGTTGCCTAACTGTTGCCTATGTGTCTTACCTACCAACCTGTCGGTATTGTATACCATTTTGATATTCATCTTGTCAGACACTGCAACACATGGCCTCTTGGTACAGAAAACACCTTGGACAACCCTTTCAAGTGAGAACTGTTGGATCTGAGAGGGACCTGACCTCTCAGTGGCTACATTCTCACTACTACTACTACTCTGCACCTCTCCTTCCGACAGTATTTAAGTCTCCGCACTGTCGCTTGATCTTCAGATAGTTCCTGACTATGGAACTGAACTTCTCCAGGCTGAGGGACTGACAATCTCAAAATTCTACGACTACAAGGGTGATGGACTGATTACATCGTCTTCACATCTCTACTGTTCCTGCCTACTTTCTGTATTCGACTGAAGAAGCCTACTGTGTAGGCGAAACGTTTCGGAATAAAGTTGCCTATGTGTCTTACCTACCAATTTAAGTTTGTCCCAAGGATGCGACCCAGTCGACTAACAAAAGATACGTACTTGCTGCTCGGTGAACAGGGACAGTAGGTGTGTTAAGGAAACATGCCCAAATGTTTCCACTCGTACCGTGTGAAACACTGCCGTAGGCCTTTTGGACCATGCTAGGCAGGTCTAACTCGCTCCCATCCATACCCACTCATACACCCTTTGAACCCATACTGAAAGCTACTCAAAGTTTTCTCTTCGGTGACAGTACCTGGGGGTTCGATTCCACTCATCTACGATATCGTTCCAGACCATGAAGCTGAACTCTTCTCCAGGCTGAGAGACTGACCTCCACAAACACTTTTTCTCCAAGGTTGATGGACTGATTACATCAAATTATTTCATTACTACTGTTCTCTTTGTATCTGACTAAATAAGACAACTGTGTAGCGAAACCTGTCATCAATAACGATGCCCAACTGCTGCACACGTCATAATCTTCAGCTTTTGCCTATCGCATGAATATTCCACAGTTTTGGAGTTTTCTTAAACATTGCTGTCTCGCCCAGCCAGTGACCTGCTGCCTTTACATACCAGTTTTATCCTGGCTGCCAACCGTAGCAGTCTGTTGACTCCGTTATTTCTGTCTGAAAGTCTAATACGTACACTGTAGTCACGCTTGTAAGTTGGGGATAAACTGTATAAATTATGATAACTCGCCAATGGGACGTATTGCCATTGTCTCCTCAATTATTTCACATTTAGGCCTACGCGTATGCAGGGATCCCTACGGAAATTAACCTTCCTGCTCGGTTTTCCTGGGTTATGCTAAGTTAACCCCTCAAGGAAGGTTCCTTGATGTTTGTGAGGGGCTCTTGATCTAGGGGACCCCTCAAGGGAGGTTCCTTGACGCTGGTGGGGGCTCTTGTTCTAGGGAATTGGATCTGTGCTTCGGTTCCATGAAGTAAGCCTGAATACCTTCCACATTTCCCCCATAGGCGCTGCATATTCCTAGGGTTTTAGCGCTCCCCTTGATTATAATAATAATAATAATAATAATAATAATAATAATAATAATAATAATAATAATAATATACTAGGTTTAAAGAAAATTAGGGATACTCTAAAAAAAGTTCATTGTCTTCCTCTCTTATCTTCACCATCGTCGTGGTCTTCACTATAGTCTTCCTCACCATCGTCTTTTTCATAACCTTCGTTTTTTCCTTCACCTTCATCTTCCTTGATGAATAAGACACCTGTGTATCACTCAGGTATCTTCATCGGCAATAAAGATACCTAAGTTCTGCACCTGTCATTATTCATCTATCTTCCAGTAGGTTATGTTTACTATTATATTTGATACATCATCATTTTTCCTCACTTTAGTCTTTTTTATTATTCTTTATTTCCCTCGAATAAATAAAATACACAAGACATCTATAAATATTGAAGTTTTATTGTCATTTTCTGTGAAGTAAATTAAGAGAACCCATTTCGAGGGGTAACTATAAAAAGATCATACATGATTTGAAAGAAAATTGAGTTAAGATTTGCTCGGATTTTTTTTTTCCGGGGAAGGGTTAGTCACCCAGAATAACACAAGAAAGTCAGTGTGTCATTGAGGACTCTTTTTCATTGGGGTCCTTCAGGCTTGTCCCCCAGGATGAGACCCCCACACCAGTCGACTAACACTAGGTCAAAGCCAGTCATAGCATGAGCCACTTAGAGATGAGAGCCAAAAGGTACCTAATGATTATGTAGCAACAAAAAGGGAGGAGAATGATTATTTTATTAGCTAACAAACATGTAGATGTAAATAACTCTACCTTATTCCTAGTATATATTCTTTATAGTATAATAATAAGATATCTCCTGCATTGTACAATAATAAGGTATTAAAAGGACCCCAATCGATCGACACCATGCCTAACCCTTCTAGGGTAGGGTAGGTGCCTGAGCCCGAGCCTTTAGCTCATAAGACTGTCATTCCCATTGCCCCCTTGTGGCGGGGATGGCAGACCAGAGAGGCCTAGCTTGTGACTAGACCTGGGGACAGTTGGTTCCGAAGATGAGGAAGTACTTGTGCCTCCTCCCATGGGAGACTTAGGTCTCAGACACTCCCTAAAGGGGAGCCAAGGCCGGGCCACCACTTGGAAAAGGCCCGGGCCGAGAGAATACCGGCGAATCTTTAATAATAATAAGGACCCCAATGGAAATAAGTTACTCTGACTTTTTTGGGTTATCCTAGGATCTCTACACATATGCTAGTATCATAATCTGTGTAACTGTATTGTGTATACCTGAATAAACTTACTAAACACCAGGGTAGGCACTTACTGCAAGGTGAACAAGGACAACAGGTGTAAGGAAACAAGCCCAATATTTCCAACAATATGCCGGTAGTCAACCCAGGGACACTCAGTGTGTGAGGCGACCTTATTTAGGTACAACTGCAGACACATTATTTTTGATGATCACAATTTTCTTACATAAAGTGTCTAAGTTATCTAAGATAACCCTTATTGCTCTGATACTTCATCTGATTCCCATTCACCAGTAACGGAAATGGGTTTAAGAAGCGGGTACTCGCTTATGAACAGTGTACCAATTTAACACTATTGTTAGTTAAGGTTAAAGGATTCAAAGAAATTCCATGGAAAAATGCAGATGGTTATGATCTGTCAATCTTCTTGTACATTTTGTAATGATTTTTATGTAATTGATCCATACGGGTTTAGCTTTTTTTTGTGACTAAAATGATTTATTGTAGAGTTATTGACAATTTTCACATTTAGAAAATGATTCCATTACTCTTTCACTTGAACAAATAATTTAAGTTCTATTAATTTTTGCGGCAAACTCTTGTGTTAATCTTTCAGCTCTGCAAAAAGTGAGCTTAGAACACAGTGTTCTATTTTCCAGTAGAGTTCGCTGGTGATCCTGTGGTGGTCTGTGTCGGGGTCTCTGGCGACTACGTCTGTCAGCAGCGTGTGAGAGTTGAACTTGAGACCTTTAAAGAACGGCAGCCCAAGTTTATTGAGGGCTTGCAATACCTGGGGTTTTTTGGCATCGGACTGTGTCGCCAAGATGATGATTTTCTCGCTTCCTTCGTCAGTCAGAAGAGAGTACAGGTGTTTGTAGACGGACCTGTAGGAGTCGGAGAGGTGTTGTAGTCTCGCCGGCACTACGAAGCCTATGATATCGAAGTAATGCAGATCGCAGACTTTTAAGAGCTTAGTTAGGCGGGACATGATGTTTTTGTTGTGGGTGTGTTCTTCTGAGCCTCCCAAGCCCGGCGTGTCAATGATGATGAGATTGTGGTGATCATGGGGCTTTGGTAAGAGGTTGAAGGAATAGGCTGTTGCAAATCTGGTTTTCTTTAGCCTCCTTTCCTTTGTGAGTCTGTTGAGTGGGTCACCATTTATTATTAAACGGAAGTTGTCTTGGAACTTGACGCCAAAGATATGGTTGACCATGGCCGTGGCGAGTGTCGTTTTTCCCGAGTTTCTTTCTCCCACCAGAAGAACAGCTTTAGTAGGCATGTTGTTGGCGCCTCCCAGAGTGAGCTTCTCGATCTTTATCCCTTCATCCCGGTGGTCCACCTTCATCAACAGCTGGCGAAGTTCCAGACCGTCTTGATGACCCACCACCTCTGTGAATTGATGAATGACTCGTAGTCTCGACAAGTCAGACACATCCACATAACCTTCTTCTAATCGCTTAACAAGTGACATTCTCAAGGGTGAGGAATCTTTCAGCTCCTGAAAGAAATCGTCAACTCCATGGTAATCAAAGTGGCGAAATATTTGGAAAAAGAAGTACTCTTCTGGACTAACATTAACAGTGGCTGTGTTTCCGTTGTCTATTATAAATAAATTACTGTAACTGATGTTAGCCTTTTTTAGTGAGCTTAGGATAGGCATGTAGGATGTAGTATCCGTTACCAAGATCTGCGTAATACTCTCTAGTTCGTCGAATGAAGCTGCAAGTAGCTCGTAGGTATTGATGAGTAGTTGAAGGACATCTACAGATGATGGCGCCACAATGCTCACACCGTCGACCATAGTCGATCCTATATCTTGTTGAAGAAATAACTCCAAGTATTGCAGAATTTTAATGTCTCTCTCTGTTTCTTTCGGTGACCCTAACACGGGCACATCCACAAGGACTAGGTTAAAGGGCATGGTCATGTCATGTGTTTGATTGAAGATATAAGCATATATAGTGTCCGCAGTGTCCTCGAAGATAAAATTATCTATAAGAATCAGGCGATAGGTATCCCTGATTTGAACGCCGAGTATGTAGTTCACAAAGGTATCCTTAAGGTATGCTTTACTTCGCGGATCATCGCCGAAGAGAAGGACCACTTTATTCGGATGATCGTTGGAGGAGCCGTAAGTTTGTTTACACACAGGATCTCCAAGAGAAGAGAAAGAAGTCATCTGCAGCGGAAGAAGCGAGAGGCCTCCCTCTGTGAACCCGTGGCCGCTGACACCCACCATGACTTGCCTACCAGGGAAGAAACACAAACATTGAGATTAACATGAAATATCTTTACACTGACGCACGTTACTGATAGCTCGTAGATAAACACACACAAAATAGCATCATCCTATAACCAAGTGAACACGCCCCCTCGACGCTGGGTTAACATTAACGCGGAGGGGTGCCATTCTTTCCACAGGTTGCTTTGCCTAACTAAAGCCCCCAACAACTCTCTTGGCATAAATGGAGGGGATATTTCTCCTTTCGTCGAAATTTGCTAACACTGTAGGCTGATGACAAAAACAATATGGAAACAGACTGCAGAATGTGACCCCTCAAGGAAGGTTCCTTGATGTTGGTGAGGGGCTCTTGATTTAGGGAACTGGATCTGTGCTCCAGTTCCCCGAATTAAGCCTGAATACCTTCCACATCCCCCCCAGGCGCTGTATAATCCTCCGGGTTTAGCGCTTCCCCCTTGATTATAATAATAATGCAGAATGTGAAAAATTTTGAATGACTTACTCTGTGACGACTGATAATGACAGCAAATTTGATCATTTTAGGAGCTTAATATATGTAAAGTACTAAATAACTAGGCGGTTCTGGTGCTTTATAAATAAAACAGTCAAGCGAACACATGTGATTGCCTCAAGTGATGCCACTCAAGGGTTCTTGATAACAGGAAGTGGAGCTAACTTCTTTCCTGGATCAAATTTGATGCCCTCCTGTTTCTAGGTGCTATAAAATTATTATGGATTTAACAATTCAACATTAATAAATTCTTCATATATATATATATATATATATATATATATATATATATATATATTATATATATATATATATATATATATATATATATATATATGATGGATAATGTAATGAACACTAATGCTCAATAATATACCACATGGAGACAAACTCAGAGGGTGAGCACGTACACACATTCTCTCTCTATCTCTTTCTCTCTCTCTCTCTCTCTCTCTCTCTCTCTCTCTCTCTCCCCTCTCTCTCTCTCTCTCTCTCTCTGTTTTTAAAAGTGAAGACTCTTAGTACAGGGTATGAGAGTACAATATATAATTTGCTTGCTCCTGTATCAACAGTATCTACATGCAAGACTTAACTACAGGTTCTCTTCAATGTTTCTAGAGAAAAAAGACACACCTTGAACCACCAGATTTCACTGGCACAACGTTTCGCTGCGTTGTGCTTCATGTAATCATGACTTTCACTACACCGAGCGAAACAGAGTCCCATTAAATGCCTGATCTGGAGACTGCGTCTTTCCTTCAGTGGGTTTTGTACGATTTTTACGTACAAAATCCACTGGAGATGTAAGAATAACACTACGTTGAAGGTAATGATTACCGGTCGACTTTGCAAACAATTACTACCTACCTGGCGAGGTGTATATCAACTTGTTACGAAGTAGAGGCAGCTTTCCCAGAGGTTTACACTTAACGGATAGGTGACCTGTGAGTGTCATGGAAGGGAGGGTGGAGTGCCAGGCCTGGTGCCATGCTCCCTCAAATCAGTTGATAAGAGGTATTGTTATTATTGCTGTCATGGGGTTAGCATTAAACGTTGATAAGAGATAGTCACCTGATAGGAGATAAATTTTACGTTGAGCATAACCGAATTGCAATACACACACACACACACACACACACACACACACACACACACACACACACACACACACACACACACGCACTCTACCTGCATTAATGTAAAAAAAAAAAAAACATGGTAACTAGGACGCTATTAGGTGGGTCAGTAGGTCGATTCCAGCATTTCATCATAACTTCTCCGTAAAATTTTATATACTAGCAGTGTCATATCAAGTGAGAATAAGTTTGTCTGGTCAATGTTTCAGAAATTAGGAACGAATCTATAGTTTGACGGTGTTAGTTGTGGCATTTTAGGCTGATTGTAAAAATAGTTTGTTCCGTATGTCAGTTTCCTTAATAACTAATTTGTCGATGGGAAGATTCATCAGATTGTTGTGCGTTGCGGTGTATAGTACAACTGTTCGTGTCATCTCCGTGGTAAGCACCTCTGTGCTTACTCTAGATGTTTCGCCTACATAAAACTTGTCACAACCTCCATGTATAGTCTCCGGTAATGGAGTCTTTGGACTTGGTGTTCTCTTTATCGGAATTCTTCATTGCGTTGGAGGTTACGGTGGGAACGCTGAATTGTTGGCTCGGTTAAGGATGCAGAGTTTTTGCTTACGCTGTTGACTGGTAGAAACTGTGTGTCTGTTGGGGCTGAAATCTCTGGCATTGTGTAGTATATTCTCGGTGCCTTTCTTGCAGTCTGTGATGAAGTGTAAAAAAAAAAAAAGCACTGTGAGTGGGGTTAGAATCCATGGCAAGTGAGTCGTACCGTAGTTTATTTGGATTCGTGTTATTACGATTTCATGAGTCGTGATGAAGTGTGGTGAAGAGGAAAGTTTAAATGAAGTTTCATTAATGAAGTCTCATTTTTCTGGGAATGTGGTTGAGATACTTGTAAGGGCTCGAAGGATTTGTTTGTCACCTACATTCCTAGAAGAAGAATGCCACTGCATTAACAAAACCTTTTGCTGGCTAAGCAGTATTACTGCAGGTGACCTGACCCGCTAATTTATGCGGCTCGCACGTTTCCATGTTTGAGGAAACTCTTGCTCTTGCATTTTCATGTACGATACATTTTCTGACTAAAATGCCATAAACCGTTTCTTCTTGACAAGTTGTAACGTTTGTCAGGAAAGAGGGAAGCGTGTCCTAACAAGGGTCTATGTCAGATGATACACCATGCAGTAAATACCATTTTTCGCAGCATATTAGACTCATTTTTCCATAAAATTCTCCAAAAACCACCCTGCGTCCTATAAACTGAAGGTCAGTGACGGGAGCTATAAGTCTGGGGTGTGGGGTGAGCTGTAGCTCTCCCATTGAAACTAAAACAAGTCTTATAAGCCGCGAAATACGGTAATTACCCGCTGGCTAAACCGAATGTGGCTTCCCATCCCATTTAAATAAATGTTAAGTACAGAGGAAAATCCTAGCGTAATTAATAAGATTGTCAGGACAGTTTAATCTGGTTGTATTATGCTGAGGTACCGCGGCCAGCAGTAACAGCCTAGTTGATCAGGCCCTGATCCATCGGGAGGCCTGGTCGTGGACCGGGCCGCGGGGGCGTTGATCCCCGGAATAACCTCCAGGTAACCTCCAGGTAACCGCGACCGGTTTCGAGGGGTTTACCTGTGACTGAGGAAACTGGTACTGTCAAGATCTTAGGCCTCCCGTTTACATTTCGACTGACCAAAATGATTGCCATATGTGTTTGAGCACTGGAATTAGCTTCTTCCGTGAGGTTGTCTAGCTCGTTCTACTTTTTTCACTGAAGACGTGTTTCTTGACGTCAGTGTGACCAGCGCTTCGTCTGCACCTTCTTCTAGATTCATTTTTTGCTCTGATAAAGATGCTGTCCTTGTTGCCTCAAACTTAACTAGTTATAATTACTCGTCTTTTATTAATATATCATAATGTTTATACTTTTCATACGTCGTTACTCCTCTCAACCTACTCCTGGAACTCCACTTGTCAGCTACAAGTGGAATGATCCCATTCTACGTTGCTTAACAAACAAACAAACAAAATTTATTTCTTTGCAAGATTACATTGAGATTATGAAATTACAATAATGAGTTGCAGTGCAAAGAACCACTATCATGCCTAGGCATTATGGCCAGACTTAATTTAATGGCTTACACACTACTTAATACTAAAGAAATTGATCATAGTTTGTTTAAATTGTACATCTTTTTTATATTTAGAGTTGACAGTAATTTTACTCTAATTACAATAGTTTCAAAAATAAATATTGAAATTATATTATGGGAATATAACATTGTGAGTTGCTGAAAGTAATTTACAGTATGAGAATGATACAATTGGGTGTATGACAGTATTGTTTTGGGTAATAGGTAATAGGGAGATTTTTGGTAAAGTTAAATATTGAGTAGGATACTGTGCTCTTGTCCTTTTTATTTCTGGTTCAAATGTATTTTCCGTGTTCTCTGGTGAGCTCAAACATGACTTTAACCTCACCTTCTATTCTCAAAGAAAAATAGATTTAGTATTCGCAGTCTTCATTTGTCAGGTATGATAATACTGGAATGTTTTTTTTAAGGCATGTCTCAAATTGTTCTTTTAGCTACTTTAAAAAATGTGTGTTTTTTCACATGACCTTCCGTTTCTTCAGTGTTGTCTTCAACTAACCCAATGTTGCATATAAACTGCATTCATGGTGTCTTCAACTAACCCAATGTTGCATATAAACTGCATTCATGGTGTCTTCAACTAACCCAATGTTGCATATTAACTGCATTCATGGTGTCTTCAACTAACCCAATGTTGCATATTAACTGCATTCATGGTGTCTTCAACTAACCCAATGTTGCATATTAACTGCATTCATGGTGTCTCTAACTAACCCAATGTTGCATATTATTATTTATTTATTTTCATTGATTCTACTTGCTGCTACTTACTAATTACAACTGCTACTAGTATTACTTCTACTTGTACTATTATTACACTTAGTACTATTATTACTACTAGTATTATTACTTAGTACTGCTAATACTATTATTACTCTTAGTACTACTAATACTACAACTAGTACTATTACTAATACTGCTATTATTACTAGTAGTACTACAACGACAATAACGACCAAAACGACTGAGGTCTCGACAAATCATTCCCAGTATTCAAGGAATGATTTCCGCGTTGCATTGAAAGATTTCTGAAAAGTTCATGCACATTCTCTTTAAAAACCAACTATCAATAATACTCAGGCGCTGACCTTCTTGAAGAATTGTTTACACCGTCAGTCGATAACCAAAGCAGCACCACTCGAATACATTGCCAAGTGTAGTAGGCTATGTGATCCATGACAATTATGGATCAGTGGGGAGATCGGACACTGTGAATATAACAGATATCTAAGTGTTGCACATGTGTTTTTTGTACCTCCGACATGAGATGCACCGGAAGTGGGCAAGGAGTGTCTAGGTTAGCAAGGAGATCCAGGGTTGCTGAGTGATGCTGCGGTTAGCCTGGTATTTCTGACCAGGCAAGCTGCCACAAATCACACACACACATTTCTTTTTCCTTTTCACTCGTTGAATAATAGTAAAAGGCATTTTTTTCCCCACATCAATCATGATAGATATAGACGCTGAGGTAGACGGAAGCTACCAGGCAGACGGAACACACCAGGCAGACGGAACCCACCTGGTAGACGGAACCCACCAGGCAGACGGAACACACCAGGCAGACGGAACCCACCTGGTAGACGGAACCCACCAGGCAGACGGAACCCACCAGGCAGACGGAACCCACCAGGCAGACGGAACCCACCAGGCAGACGGAACCCACCTGGTAGACGGAACCCACCAGGCAGACGGAACACACCAGGTAGACGGAACCCACCTGGTAGACGGAACCCACCAGGCAGACGGAACCCACCAGGCAGACGGAACCCACCTACAAAATAAAGCTATAACCAGATGCCCTGAGTTTCTCCACTAACTGTGCGTGATCCGTTATCCAAGATAATTATCGTTACGTGAAAGTAACTGCAGCTCTGCTAGAAGATATCCCTCGAAGCTGCCATACCTGGCAAACCTCGAACTGACTTGCTTGACGGTATTCCCATTACCTGTGTAATGGAGTGTGACTCCAGAACCATCCTCCGTCATTGATGTCTTAGCCAAACATACATAAATCATTATCCAGCCTTATAATATATTTAATAGATCCGGGTAGCCAGGAATTGTGCTGTAATTTCACTATATTCTAAATGGTTAGGAGAGGGGAAGAGAGGGAAAAGCCATGGATGAAGTGGGGGGGGGATGATTATATTATTGTCGTTGATCCCCAAGATTCCTACCAGACTTTATGCTATTGCTCTCTTGCTAAATGAAATTTATATTAATATTAAATTACCAGAGTACAGAATTGCCCGCTGATGCGGACAACGAGACATTAAAACCGAGTACAGTATTATATATATATATATATATATATATATATATATATATATATATATATATATATATATATATATATATATATATATATATATATATATATATATATATTATATATATCGTCCTCACAGAGATCCTAATCAGAAGATTGTGGTCAAAATATACGGTATTTATTTAATTTGAATTTTGTCTTAAATGGGATTTAGTTATGATAGTAGTGTTTTATACTCGTGTATTGTTCCACCTCTATCGTTAATTTTTTTCTCGACCATTATCTTATGGTCTTCACGGTAAATAAAATATTACAGAATGGTCAGACTTAGCGTCAAGCGACGAAACATTATGTAACGCTGGTTTGTATCAACAAGTGACGTAACATGTAACGCTGGTGTGTATCAACAAGCGACGTAACATTATGTAACGCTGGTGTATCAACAAGCCATTCCAGTTTTTCTCGACTGTATTTTTTTTTTGT